GCGCCCATACCAGTTCCGTTGCGCCGTGAAGCACTTCATGCAGGCTGTACTGTTGGTGCAACGCGCCATGCGCCACCAAGCGCAAATCTTCAAAGTGATGCAGAACCGCATCTTCAAGCCTCTGGTTTGGGCCACTGAAACGCAGCTGATTTGCGACGCCTTCCGCATGCGCAAAGCAGAGGCAGCCGCAAAGATCGAGTCCCAGATGCATGCGTTCAAAGTCAAGCACTGGGAAGAGGACCTTCTGCATGCATTGGCGCATTCGTTCTTGTGCACGTTCTTTGGCGGAGTTCCCCGAAGATCAAAGTGTAATGTGTCCGAACTCCTGTCAGAGAAATGTCATGTCAGAGAAATGTTACACATTCAACAAGGTTGGTCCTCAATTGTGGCCCAAAATTAATTTAGGGGGCTCACTAATTGTGGCCAAAAAGTATTTTAGGGGGTTTACTAACCACAGCTCCTAGCATCAGCCATCATTTGACTTTCTTTGGTGACATCGCAAGTTACATTCAAACATGGGCGGAGAGGAGGCCCGGCATTTGCTTCTTTGGACTTTGTGGTTCCATTTTTGGGATTGTTTGGACAAGTGTTTCAGAGACCTTGGTTTCAGAGACCTTGGCCGATGGTCCATGCGAGTGCCCTTTGGATCTTGGCTGGCGTGTTGCAAGGGCTAAGGTAGCTACTGAAACTTAGCCTGGCCCCTGCCCCGGGCCAAGGAGGTGCGACTGATGAGCATCGACCGCGCCCATGTTTGGCGCCATGGCTGCGGACGATTTCGAGCCAAGCTCTCAAGGATCAGTGAAATGGAGGAGGAGCGGACACACGCGCGCGCACACGCACACGCAAGGCTGAGTTTGCGGCTGGCTTTTTGCCAATGTGAAAATCAAAGACGGTTTGATTCGGCATAGGCCCGGCCACAGGCACAGTTCATTGCCGGTGTTCCCTTTTGTTGTCTTTACAAGGTATGATAAGGTTTTGATTTGTCCCGCGCGCTGTTGCGGTGCTTGGCATTCGGTTGGCAATGGAACGCCGCGGCCATGCCGCTTGGCGCACACTTTTTCATGGCATTGCTGTGGGAACGAACGCAAAGATTGGCACACGCTTTTGATTCATGGAATATCATGGAATTGAATCGCTTCACGGCAGGAGCCTATGCAACATCATCATTCATCCTTACAGAAGACCCTGGAGCTCATGTCCAGGGGCAGCCTGGGCCACACAGCCAAGAACTTGAGGCGGGTCCAGCTTGTGCGGGTGACAGCCTCGGGCCGCGGGGGTGGCGGGTGGGGCGGCGGGGAGAGGGGGGGGTTAATGATGAAGCTGCCTTTATCATGAACGACACTGCGTCCCGCAAGCAGGTGAGACTTTGTCAGCATCTGCTGGACCTGCGTTAAGCTGCGCGTTTGAGATCCCACAAGGTGGACATTGGGTGCCAGATTTTCCCCTTGCCATGTTCTAACTAGCAGCTTTCGTATTATGGATGGTTGCCGTACGTTTGGACAAACCACCTGAAACCACCCCCGCACTTGCCCACTTCACTCGGGCAGGGTGTCACTGAAGTGGAGCAACAGGCCTTTGCCGGTGCCCTTTCTGCCTGCCGGCCACGACAGGCAGCCCGCGCCCCTGTTTTGCCACTTTTGAAGCCAAGGCCGGCATGACCCCAAGAAGTCACTCGTGACAGTCAAAGTCCAGGTGAGGGAGGGTCAGCAAGGATCCAGTCCCGACCGTAAATTGGTGCAACCGCCCTTTCTTTCGGCTAACGACGTGCCGTTCCAACATGTGTCAGTTTGTTTACCTATGGCTCCCGCGTAAAGGGCAGCAAGCCTCTCAAGCCTCTCAATTCGAGATATCCGCCAGCTGCGGCACAACACACAGCTATATCTATCTTGCTTCTGCCTTGCGCAATGTGACAATAATTGCAGTGGTCAGCGAACTCGGGGGGGGCACAAAGACCTTGGATTTTCTTGCGCCCATTCAATGTCGAAGCGTGTCAAAGTGAACGCTTCCAGTTGGTTGAGTCACTTCCAGTTACCCCAAGCCAGCGTCCCAGATGCTCGTTGAACATGGTACGGGCGGCAAATGGTTGCCTGGTTTGGTTTTGAAACCAAATTTGCACCCGTATCTCCAAACCACACGGCAACCCCGAGCATTGGTTTGGAGGCTGAAGGTTGCACGTCACGCGCGTTGCTCCTTTGAGCTGCAGGAAGTCTTTCAAGCAGAGTGGATTCCTGATGATGGAGACACTGCGAATGGAATCCCAGGATTGCGAGGAAATTACCCGCCAGATGCTTCTGACGAGCATTGACGTGTGGTGGGGGCAGTTCAGCCCTTTGATCAGGTTTAGCATTTGTTCGGCGCCTTACTTTACTCAAAACCATGCCACATGACAGCAAACCGTGCATTGGGCTGACCTAGGCAGGGCAGGCGCTGTTTTGGGCTAGATGCAAGGAGCAGTGCGCAGCATTTAGGATGAATCGCATATTAGTTCACGCTTGTGATGCTTCCTGGACTTTGAAGGAGAAAAGGATGGATCAAAGCAATCTCGAGCTTGCGGGAGGCTTGAAGTACCGCGCAAGCGAGTGGGGCCCAAGCAAGGTTCGTTTAGTGTTCATTCGCCCAGGCCTCCAGTGGGGCAATTTCCCCTTCGCCTTTTTTGTGGGTTGGAGGGCTCCAGCTTTGAAGACCGAAGTTCCAAACCAACCATCCAACCAAGTAAGCAACCACCCAACCAACCAACCAACATCAACCAACCAACCAACCATCCAACCAACCAACCAACCAACCAACCAACCAACCAACCAACCAACCAACCAACCACCCAACTAACAAACCACCAACAAACCACCCAACCAACCACCCACCCACCCAACCAACCAACCAACCAACCAACCAACCAACCAACCAACCAACCAACCAACCAACCAACCAACCAACCAACCAACCAACCAACCAACCAACCAACCAACCAACCGAACAACCAACCGAACAACTAGCCAACCAACCGGTCCTGGCTTTGGGGTGCGACCAGCTTAGGAGCTTACAAGGCCGTAGAGGAGGCTTCGCGGCAGACCTGGCGGGACTGGTGGGACATGGAGGCCTTCGGCACGGACCTGGAGGTTCCTGAGGCGCCAGCGGCAGTTTGGGCTTGCCCAAACGTGTGCCCAAAAGTGGGACTTGTTATGGTGTTGTTTGTGTGCTTGGTGTGTGGGTGTTTGTGTGTGTGTGTGTGTGGGTGGGGTGGGGGGTGGCGCGCTTGCTTGTTGCGTGTTTGTTTGTCTGTCTGTCTGTCTGTTTGTCTGCCTGTCTGTCCTTTTTCTCTGTTTGCTTGCGTGCTTGTTTGCTTGTTTGTGTGTGGGTGTGGGTGTGCGTGTGGCGTGTGGCGTGTGGCGTGTGCGTTTGGCGTGTGGCGTGTGCGCGTGCGCGTGCGCGTGCGCACGCGCGTGTGTGTGTGTGTGTGTGTGTGTGTGTGTGTGTCTGTTTGTGTGTGTGTGTGTGTCTGTTTGTGTGTGTGTGTGTGTGGGTGGGGGGGGGGGGCGCGCTTGCTTGTTGCGTGTTTGTTGTCTGTCTGTCTGTCTGTTTGTCTGCCTGTCTGTCCTTCTTTTTTTTTTCTGTTTGCTTGCTTGCTTGCTTGCTTGTTTGTTTGTTTGGTTGGTTGGTTGGTTGGTTGGCTGCTTGTTGTTTGTTTGTTTGTTGGTTGGTTGGTTTGCCAGCTTGCTTGCTTGTTTGTTTGTTGTTTGTTTGTGTGTTGTGTTTTTTTTACCTTTCTTTCTTTCTTTCTTTATTTATTTCTTGTTTTCTTTCTTTCCTTCTTTGTTTGTTTGTTTGTTTGTTCGTTTGTTTGCTTTCTTGCTTTGTGCTTTGGTGTTTGCTTTTCGTTTTTTGGGTGTCGGTTGTGTGTGTGCGTGCGCTTCCCTCTGCTCTAGGTACAGGCACTGTTTGGCCATTTCGGTTCTTCAGAGTTCTCCTTTTATCTGAGCCAGCTTTGTAGGGCCCACTCGCTCATGGTGTAGCTTTCCACGCTTAGCCAGGCATGAAACGATTAGTGCGAATGGTGCTTGCCCTCTATCACAAGAGTTTGCCATGCTGTGCTTCTCACAAGGACAGTTTGGGACATGGAGATTTACCCTGGCTAGTTCATCCCCCACTTGCTTGAAATCTGGCTTGGGTGTTGGCTGCTCAAGCTGCGAACGCTTCGGGCCAGGTACCAGCCTACCCTGCAGCTTGGATTGACAGGGACGCCGCATAGTTCGTACCGAAACATGCATCAACCCTACTTTGACTTGACACCTTGAGACAACTGTTCACTCCTTTTGTCGTGGTGCCAATGAGGCCCAAGCAGGACCACGTGTGAACAAACCACAAGAAATTCACTCACCTTGGGGTAAAGCGAGCCCATCATGAAGGTCAACCACTTTGCCAGATGCATCATGATGCATCAAATGACCGGGCGCAACCCATGAGTCGTCCCCAAATTGGGCTGAGGAGATACAGTTCAACCAGTATGGCTACGCCTGGCTCCACAAGGAGGTGGAGAACCGGCTCAAAGAGAAGCCGGAATTTCGGAGCCTCATTGGCGAAGGCTTCTGAGATTTAAAGCAGAGTGACGCAGCCTGTTTGTCGCCAAGGGGCGCCGGGCGGCGAGGGGCCAGAGGCAAGAAGCCTCCAGCATGTGAGGTGCCAACGTTTCACTAGTACCCATAGGATGTAGCTCTGGCAGCGCAAATGCGCAGCCATAGGTTCTGACCCCAGCGGTATCAAAAGTGTTCATGGAGAAGGGGTGGCACAGGACTGGTCTCAGGGCACCCGGGGAGATCTCGAGGGCGGAATCACAATTGGCCAACTCGCCCCTCCAGGGAAATATTCCATCGCCCTTGCAGTGTGCTTCAGCGGTTTGCGGTCAGATTGCATCGCACAGGCAACTCGAGGTGGCCCTGTGGATTCGCAGTGGGCGTGGGGCACTCCAGGGCAAGACGTCACACATGACGCAGCACCTGTTGCAGGACAAGAAGCCCACAGGTCCGTTCAGCGCGTCTGCAGCGAACGCCAGGGGAGACCACACCGGCTCCAGAGTCCTGGCTGAGTGGTGGACCTGCGGTGTAGGCAGAGTCGAGGGAAGCCCCTTTATTTTCTCTTACGATTTAGATTCAATTTTGGTGTGATTGACATTTACGTTTGTCTTACGCCGGGTTTAATATTTCTGTATGCCTTTTGCTTCTGGCATACCATTTTCGGGAGTTCTCGGAAGAGGACTTGGATGAGTCCCGGAAAGTCTTAAAACACATCGTAAACACGCATTGCAAAGACGTCGTAAACAATGTGTTTAACCAACAAGTACATTTGGCAAAATAGTGAAAGCACCATTGTAAATTTCATTTCACGAACACACGTTATTTTTGTTAAGCAATATTTTCTGATATACGCACAATTGTTTGGCTTTGTTGTTGCAATGTGTGTTTGTGTGTTACAATTTCCGGCGTGCCTTCAGGTGGGAGAAGTTGGCGTTTTCCAGAGGGCGGGCTTAATATCAAACACACCTGTAAACAAATAATAGCTGTTGTGTAAATTGTATTGCTGAATCGAGGTCGCGACTTGCGGTGACTTGCGCTGTTTGATCTAGTGATATAATGTTCAGTCCATGCAGCCAACATGTAGCCCAGGAAGTAGCTCCCAAAAACTGCGCTGAGGCCATGTTGAGGATGCCATACCTGCGTCACCGTTGCGAGGGTTTTGTTAGCCCTAAGATGTTCTACGTCCTACGTAAGATTTCGTGGCTGGCAGATGATGTCTTAGACGGAGCTGTCCAGGACGTTAAGCTTGCTCAGCCCAGGCATGTTTGGCAGCTGGCTGCGTGACTTGGCTGTGGGTGTGAGCAGACCAGCTTTCCAGTGCGCGAACTCTGATGGCCAGAAAAATCATGGCCCACAGGCGCTTCAGGCGCAACAAGGATGCCCTTATTATTGGGATGGCAGGGGTGCCCATTAACTTGCCAGGGACACGGTGCCCATGAACGGTGCCCATTTGGCTCGGACGTTTGCAGGAAACAGGGACAATTATTCTGAACTGTTCGAAGTGAGCAGCTGCTGGCGGTGGCATTTGTGGCCAAGTTTGGCATACTCGGAAGGGCGGTCCACCATGTGTCAAGCACGGGACGGAACCAGTGGGAGATTCCCCTTTCAAAAATCGCCGCTACATGCATTTGGTGGTCAAGATGTTGCAGCGACGTTCCTTCCAGGGCCGGAATTACTACACTGATGTTCTGGCTGGTTGTTTAGGTGGTTTTCTTTTGCATTTGTTTGTGCTCCGCTGAGAAAACTTGTCTGTTCCGCAGGTGACAATTGCATCATTGCCTGGGGCCTCTTCTACACGGATCCTGAGGCACACGTGCCTGCCTGCTTATACGTTCTCCCGCGTGGAAGGCACACCGCCAATTTTGTGGGCCTTGGCCCTCAATCGGCTCGGTCAAGTTCCCTGGACCCTTGTTAACGAGCTGCCATCCTGCCCATCTGTGCGGAGGCATGTTTACATGTCCAATGGCAAACAACGTGTGCTTGGTGGCCAGCTCGCGGCACCAGACCCTTTCAAGCAAGTGCAGTGCAGATTTTATTGCGCCTCAAATGCTTTGCTTAAGTATTGCCAGTGTCGTTGTATTACGTTTTGTTTGGCCCTTTGCCCTGCTGCATGCTTATGATTCTCAATGAGGCATTTTGCAATCTGACCTTTTTGTTCTGGTGCCTCAAAGGAGGGGCTTGCCACCTACGCAACACTTGTTTGTAGGGAGGGGGCACATAGAGCAGTTGCCATTTGGCCTTGAGCAATGCTCAGAGTTGCCGCATTTTGCTGCGGACAGGGAGCTGGCGCCAATGATGCGGTTGCCTGCTTGAACTCCATCGCCAAGTTCCTTTTGAGCCTGAGCAAATGACTTGGGAAGACGAGAGGGAGGAGGTGCCAAGTTTTCAACATGTGTCTTGAAGCACCAACTCAGACACGTATGGTGCATATAAATTCACATTTAGATATGTCCACGAGGAAGCTGGCAATCAAAACTCATACCCATGTGGCTTTTGCTTCTGTGGACGACCGTCCCGATCCCGTGCTGTCAGAGTCTGCCAAAGTGGGTTTGGTCAAGCAATCAGAGCTCAGGACGTACCAAAGCCACAAGATGGAGCTAGTCATCAATGGGCTCAAGGCACATTTGCCCATTAGTTGTGTGATGCCTGAGACCGCAGCCAGGACGTCAAGGGAGATGAAAAGACCTGGATGGATCGTGCCTTGTATGAGATGGAAGCCCTTAGCTTGTCCGCGTTTCCAGTGCAGCTTTGCGTAGATTTGTTGCAAGGATGTCATTTGTCTCATTTCCAGGCTTGATAGTTCTTGCGGCTGAGGCCCCCACATCCGTTTCATCGGGGAGACTGGGCTGGAGGATCCCAAGTGGTGCCATTCCAGCGGGCCGTTGAGATCGCGGCAGTCGCGACTGCGCAGGTACAACCACAAGCAGAACGATGCCCTGGGATACTTCATGTGGGCCCTGGGCCCCGGCAATCTCCGGACACGTAAGATGGGACAATTGTTGGCCGGCCTCGGCACTGCCAAGCAGCGCGCTGGGCATTTGGCACTGACGAGCCTGCGGGCCTTGCGGCTTGTGAAGTGTGACCGGCCCCTTTCAGGCACACAGAAGGCATGCGTGAGGAACATATTTAATCTTGGTCCAACTCCTCGTGCCCACGGAGCACAATGCCGCATTTGTTTCTTCATTGGTTGATTGGTTGGTCGGTTAGTTAGTTGCTTTGCTGGATTGTTTCTTTGCCAGCTTTCTCGTATGAGGCCCGAACGCAGCTGGCCTGGCACAAGAAGCTGCCATTCAACGGCGAGCACTTGAAGCTCATGGGCCAGGCAAGTTGCCCTCCCTTCCGGGCAGGTTAGATGAAAATGAGAGCTCAAACGGGTACATTGACATGTCTGTCAATATGTGAACCTTTGCTATGAATAAGGCTTAATGTGGGACCTCCTCCTTTCATATGACCTCCCCCCAGCAGAGCAACCAGACGTTGTGACCCTGTTTGGTGGATTTGTTTGGGGATTTGGACTTGGCGTGCCAATGCGAGAATTTAGCACTGGCAATGCTAAACTTAAAGTTGCCAATGTTAAATCTCAGATTCCCAGTGCTTATTTTGACATTGCCAACCCCCTTTGTGTGACCCCCTTTGTGTGACGTCCGGCCTTGTTTTATTATTATGTTTTTTAATATTATTTTTAATATGATTATTATTGTTAATAATATATAAGGTTTGTTTAGACACACAAGCTGATTTTGGGGGCACTTCGATGTTACCCCTGCAAAAGGCTTTTTGTGATGCGCCGCTGTTTGAAAAAAAGCTTTCTATATCGGAGGGAAGCACTTTGTTTAACAATTGGTTTAATGCTTGGTGGGCCGGATCCCCGGTGAGAAAAACACATAAGATCCGTCATCGCATTGTGCCATCCACTTTCACCCCTGATGTTTGGCCATAGCAAACTCACCCAAAAGTAAGCACGAGCTTGCCGTGCCCGTCCTTTACTTGGGGATCCCTTTCAGGTTTTGGAACTGTAGTGCAATTTGGTCCGCCCAGCTCTTCGATTACTTGCGGGCCATCGAGTGCTGGAAGGACCTTGACGGAGGCGTGCGCCTTTACGGACTCAGCTGGGCGGTCTCAGTCGCCAAGCGGCTGGTCTCCAAACGTCTCCAAAATGGAGTTTGGAGCGTTCGAAATGGGCCTTTTCCCTTTGGTTATGGTTCCTTTGGCCAAAAGGGGAGGAGGATTATGGACCTCCCGAGGTTTGGCAGAGACTTGGGCTAGGGGTCGTGGGCCCAAGCGATTGTTGACCTGTCGCTTCCAGGCGCTTGGGACACGTGAGTTGAGGCACTAACTGCGCGTACCCTGTCGCAGGTATTTAATGTGTTGCATGTTTGACTTGGACTCGATTAATGGTGCCGCGCACACGGACAGTAGTGATCTTGTACCCCCCCTTTTCAGGGCGGTTGACTCTGTCCTGGAAGCCACAATGCTTCTGCGGGCTGTAGCGTCCAGTTGGCTCCGAAGCTCAAGCAGAATTGTGACAAGGCATGCACCACTTTTTGTTCTTACCCATGATGATATCCGTCTGTTGGGTTCTTGCAATTGCCTGTTTGTGTATGTATTTGCGCTAATCCATATCATGTATACATATACATAATATATCGGGTGTATAGATTCTGGCTCATTCACTACGTAGCTGATACCTTACTGGTGGTGAGGGGGGGGGGGGGTCCTAGCTTTGCCCGCTGCCCAGAAAGGTGTGTGCCACAAAGTGCCGCGCAGAAAAAAATGCCTCAGAAGGCACGCCCCTGCTGACAACCAACAAGGCAGTGACCTACACCTTTAGGGCACTGCCTTTTGCGTTATCTCCTCCCACATCTATGTTGGGCCCGGGCGTAGCTAATCGTGTGCAGTTACACGTGTTGACGCATGCTCGTCTAGACCTATGGGTCCTGTGCAAACAAAGTCTCTTTTCGTTGTTGGGAGGATGTAAACTCGTACTTGCGTGTGTGTGTGTGTGTGTGTGTCACAAGGGTGACGAACCTGTACTTCCGCGCATGCTTAACCAAACAAAGCAAGCTCGATAGGAAAAAGTGGTGAGCTCCCTCAAGGGGGGCGTTGTTTCACGCATACACATGCAGCTACACAAACAGTGTATGAATCTGTTCCGGGGAATCTTCGCTCTGACCAGCAGCACTACCAGCAGCACCTTGCACCGCCAATAGTTGTTCGCTGTTGTTTTTCTTTCATGAGTGGTATCCCCATTTTATTCCTGTGTGGAGTTCAAGATTCATGTCAAACTTTGGGAGAGACGGATCATGATCGAGCTGGGGCCGATTGAAATGTTCGAGTCGGGCAGGCCACTGGGAGGAGCACTCCGCCATCCACGCCTCCTCCATTGGGTTGGGGGCCCAGGGCCCCTGCAAGCCGGGGGGCCGTTGAGGGGCATTCCCTTCGCGCTTGTCAGCTTTGAAGCGAATCCGTCAGGCCGCCCTTGGCAGCGGTGAAGCTCTTTAAGAAGGCCATGGGCCTTCTCCGTTGGATCCTGTTGGCTGCCTTCCTTGTTCGTGTCTCAGCCACCCCTCCCAATGGATTTTCCTCAGTGAGGCGTAGTGGCCAGTGGTGAAAAGTCAAAAACATCAGAGTTTGTTTGCCACTCAAGTTAGCTTCGGTTGCACCAAGCCGAATAAACTGGTTTACCTTTGTTTTAAAGGTTGGTCTTGCATTCCGTAAGTGATGTCCATATCTTTGCGAGGAGTGAGTCATGGTTGTTTATTGCACACTGGAGTAATTACATGAAATTTCGCCCTTTGGGGAATCACCCTATGTTAGATAACTCCTGGTTATTTTGGTTTGTTTGTAGTGGTTTGGGGACAAGACCCTGGGTGTAACAGGAAAATCCTTTGGCATTGCCTCGCTACATCGGAAGGTGGCCGCGAGAGATGGGTTCATTGCGCCCTGCAAGTCCGACACGCTGGATGTGCTTGAGACGAACATGCAGGCATTGAGCAGCTGGGAAGATTGGTGGTCTGGTTCTCTACGTTGTTCCCCTTTTTGGTGGTTTTAAGCTTTGAGCATGATGTTTTGGGCCACATGACAGTCATACATCTTCCTTTTGGGGGGATGTTGGAAGGCCTGAGGTTGTGGACAACTGTAACTGTAACTCAGGGCGTATGCCCTTGATATTGGGAGGGATCAACCTCTCTTGTTGATAGCTGTCGTCCCCTTGTCTCCATGCCAGCCGCCAGACGTGCTAAGGCCCTAGACGCCTTGTCCCCGTTGGAGGAGTACCCCCCAAAAAACAATTGGACATTGCCCACTTGGCTTCATGCCTGAGCTCTTGTCCAGTTCACTTGAAGCTGGAGGGCCAAAGGTTGTTTGACTGGCATCTTTTGCTGCGGCCACGTTGTGGGAAGGCCGCCCTATCCAAGATTCTGCCGGGCGCCTGGCCCCCAGAAGCTTCCTAATGGGATTTTTGGAGTGGTCCGGGTGCAGTTTGGTCTCAGAAGGTTGCTTGAACCACCATGGATTATTCAAATTGTTTCGGTGACAAGCTCTCCGCATGTTGAGCTGCTTGCAGTTTGACCAGATTCAGCAGCACGCTTCTTGAGCTAGTGCATGTTGGTTCTGGTTTCTTCTGCTTGCCCCATTTGCAAACGCACATTATTAGTCGCGGCTGGTTTGGTTGAACGGCTGCCATGGTCAAGCCGACAACGCAACCATTGCGCTCAGGAGATTACCTTCCCGGCAGAACTTGCCAGGGATGCCGACTCCGCCACTGTCTTCCTGGCCTACCCACTGGAGGCCATTGATTCGGGTCCTCGATTCTTTGGATATTTGCAGAAGTATTGCAAACCAGGCATGTGTGCTTTCCTGAAGCTGCAAGAGTTTGTTGGGGCCGAAGCAGCCTGGAGGCCGTTTTCGACACCTGCACGCATACACATGTTGGGCGTTCAACTTTGACTTCCCCCTGCAACAAACAAACTGACGGCAAGCGTCCCGCTTTCACTACGCAGCATGCCAGTCTATGAGGGGACGCGGCGTATCTACCCCAAGCTGACCGTTTTTTTTTGTTCCCCCCCCTTTTTTTCCGGTTTAGAGTTTTTGCATGGTGGTGAAGTGTGGTACAGGCAGGTTCCCCTGCGCTGTTTCTGCCTCTGTTCATTCCTCAGGGGTGGACACTTTGAACGTTTTAGCTCCACGACTCTCCGTTTCGGGCAATTGCACGCTGGGCTCGCTCAAGCAGGGGTTGGGCAAACTTTTGGAGTCTCACTGCCCCGTTTCTGGGATTTCCTGCTCTGTTTCTGACCTTTGCGCGATTCAATGGTTGGCCCAGGCTTGTCATGGAAGTGCTGGGATTCTTTTTGCTGAAGCAAGGATGCATGATGGAGCCGGTCCAATGTCCTTTGTACTTCTTGTTTTTGGCTTCATCTCATTTTTGGAGGGTTGAAAAGAACACTTCTTGCAGGGTCTCGAAGGTTCCCAAGGATACATTTGGGCCGGTTCATCGCCTCCAGAGGAATCCCTTGCAAAGCAGGTGGTATTTACGCTATTTGCCACATCCTTGAAGGAACCCCTGCTCCTTGCCAACAGAAGGAACGAGGGTTGGAAGGACACCATGGATCTGCGCTAGGTGGTGGACGACGCCATGGGGCTGCAACTCATGGACCGCCTTCGAAAGGCCTGTGAGTGGGCGCGTGCAGGTGCGTGCAGGTGCGTGGAGGTGCGTGCATGAGTGCGCGCGTTTGTTTGCTTGTTTGTGTGTTTCTTTTTGTAGAGGTGTGTGTGTGTGGGTGGCTGGGTGGCTGGCTGGCTGGCTGGCTGGCTGGCTGGCTGGCTGGGCTGGCTGGCTGGGTGGCTGGCTTTGTGGCTGGCTTTGTGGGTGGCTGGGTGGCTGGGTGGCTGGGTGGCTGGGTGGCTGGGTGGCTGCGTGGCTGCGTGGCTGGC